AAGGAGAAGAATAGGATAAGAGAAAAGAAACGAAAGAGCAGCAGCAAGAAACAAAGGAGAAGAATAGGATAAGAGAAAGAAAAGGTGAGGAAAGGAAGATGAAAAACAAACGACCTTTGTTAGAGGTATAATCCCTAAAGTTTTTACTTGATTTTAGGATGATATGATTACCATTTCACAATTATGTTCATTATTTGGACTTAGGATATGATTAAGATATGTATTAGATTGAGAATTCATGAGCTAGAGATTTATAATTCCTGAGAAACTAAGATATATAATGTTTGAACTTGTTAGATTTAAAATTCATTGCGAATAGTATTGATGCAGTTACAGAGAGCATGAATCAGTGATGGGAGGGAAGGGAATTGCTTCAGCCTCTTCTATTTATGGAACATCACTCTTTAGTCCAAGGAATACGATACCGTATGAAATCAATGTAAACATGTTGAGGACTGTTCTAAGACATGTCAAAAGATTCCACAGTAAGATAACTAGAGCTGAGAATGCAATTACATAGGATCAAGGTTTTAAATATCGGTTATCGAGGATTTATCAGACGGTCAAAATCCATATCGGATAGCGGATATCAGCAATATATCAGATATAAATAATATTTATCGTAGTGATATTATTAGATAGTGTATATACATATTATAATATCCTAAAATATAATCTAACCATACTTAATGAAATATAAACATACCAAAATGTAAATAATCATGTTTAGAATCACTAATTAATGGTCTTGCTTCTTGATCGCACAATGAAACCATTGAAGTGCATAGTTAGTAAAAATGGAATAACATACAAGCAAATAACAAGATATCATAAAGAATAAAGAATCATCAAACATAATTGTTGTGTAATCACGAGATTATAAACTAAATTACTAAGTTGAGATTTAATAGTTATGAGTCATGTCAATATTCATAAACAAACATAAGCTAATCAACAAACAACCAAGTTCCAAAAACAACAAATAGTTTACAATTCTTAAACAGTCAAAGAGCAAACCCAAACCCAAACTCAAACCAAAGACCGATAATTCCAAAATTTTGAGCTAACAATATCGGCCAATAACTCACTTTATCGTCACATTATCGCCGATAAATATCCAAAAACGATAACAGGTTTAAAATCAAACTTATCATAACGGAAGGCCACCAAAACTGATAAATCGTTGATAATATTGATTTATCGGCTGATAATTAAAACATTGTGTAGGATATAAGCATAAACATATGGATTGAGTGAAAATTGATATTTATCTATTTGTTTGTACTAGGAAAGTCTAATAAGAGTTAGAACAAACTCTTGAAGAACCATGAGGAGCTTGGATTGTGAATGATCTATAAGTGGGGTTACATATTCTTTAATTTATGTTTTTGCATACAAATGTTATATTTTGATGTGCAAGCATGTTGAGCATGAGATTCATATTTTTAGTATGTTCTAAGATATTTCAGACTATTGTAAGCATGATTTAATGCTTGTTGAATTATCATGTATGAATGCTTGGTATTGCTATTGTAAATTATACATGACAAGCGGACTTTGTCAAAGATGTTTGAATTATATTGAGACATATATTGCATTATTCGTTGGCGAGTGGTGTATACCAAGAAATTAAGTAAGTCACAGGCCTATCAAAGGAGTAGGGTGTTATGACAAGCAGATCATCGTCGTGGGCAGTCTAGCTTAGTTATGACATAAAAGGCAGAGCGCTACGGTAGGCAGCCTTTCTAGACAAATCATTGTTGTAGGCAGTCTAGTTGCGAAGAAAGGGTGTGACGTTGCTTCATTTCTATACATAAAATTGATTTCTAAAGTGTTGCATATTTGTTCTAAACTCCTCGACGGGATAGTATTCTATTATGTGCATGGTTTCAGTTTGGATTTAGAATATAAGGTATTTCTCTATACATCTGGAACTATGTGTTACAGAGTAATTGGAGTTAGGTTTTGCAGTTTCTCTAGTTAAAAGAAATTTTGGTCGGTTGTCATGCGCCTTGATTTTATTATAATTGATTAATATTATTGTTGGTTCGGGCATGACAAACATAATAGCATGTTAATAAAAGTAAAAAAAAACAATCTTCACCAGAGGGAAATATCAAATATCTGATTCAAGATCAAATGTCACGAAAAGGAAAAATCAGTTCATACCTTGAGAAGACTAATTGATAATTGAGATGATGTCATTGGGATGGACACATCTATGACATGTTGCAACCTACAATGAGTAGAGGATATATATGTATGTACATATATATATGTATACACACACACATATATGTATGTATGTATGTATATCTATGTGCGTATATATACGTATGTATATCTAGGTACATGTATATATATGTACGTGTATAGATGTATGTATACATATATATGTAGAAGTATGTATATGTATATATACGTACATGTATATATGTATGAATATATACGTATATATAAAACAAGGATACTTATTTGTATGGCGTGAATATAAGTCGACTTTTTTTTTCTTTTCCCTTTCTTTTTTGTTGTTGGAATGACTTGATTTAGTGAACTTTCCTGCATATTACTGTGTGACATTCATGGTTTGAGAATAAACTTTCTGTGGTTTGACATATTTCTAATTATAGTAACATTTATTATTAATTTGGAAAGGAATCCTGATTTTTCACATAGAACAGCATAAGAAACCTATGTGGTTGTAATGATTATATAATTATGTTTAGGCCTAATATGTTGTAAGCATCTCATTTTAACATACAAGTATATCTCGAAAAATATGCGAGTCAGGTTGAGGCTCCGTATGTTACCCCAAGAAGATTAGATTTTAAAGATTTTAAGGACCAATATCTATAAAACCCTTGTTTTGTCTTTAGTGTTCCGAATTGGAAGTTAAAACTCACACCATACACCATGGCACACCTCAAGGAGAGAACGTTAAACAATTCATATCAAAATAATAAAATTCAGCACGTTAGAATACGTCATAATTGAGAGTATAGTTTAACATGCAACATAAATAGCAGAGTCCAAATTTGGCCCATCAATTGTTCACTAAAGCATATAAAACATACATCTATAGATTAATTTGTCTAATAACAAGCACTCTAGATAGGCGGCAAAAAAAGCATATGAAGGATCCATGCCTTTCAAGTCTACGCCAGGTTGAAAAGTTTCCCTTTTGGAACCATCTTTAGCAATACCCATATCATTAGTTCGGATTCCACAAACTTTATCATTCCTGTCATATATGACCTGTCAACTTATTAAAATAAGAAAATGCATCAACTATTTAACTTGATTACAAGTACAAGGCTATTAATCAGGTACCTCACTAGCGGCAAACCCTGGATAAATTTCTACACCCAACTCTTCAGCTTTGGTTGCCATCCAGCGGACAAGCTGGCTCAAGCTGAAGACAAATAACTTAATTATCAGGTAAACTTATTATAAGCAAGGAAGATAACTAGCAGGATCAAATGGAAAATGCAACACAACTTGATCCACAAAAAAGCTACTCAAAATTTGATACATTACAACAGGCGATCTCTATCTTCATATTCATAACGCACTGACTTTGAATATTGTATAGCCCTAGTTTTTTTTTGTTTTAATCCATCATTTCAGCAAGTTAGAGGTTTGTACGACTCTGAAATAGAGAATACTAGATTCGCTAGATTCCTTAAAAAAGAGCGTGCACAACTTAGTTTTCCCTATTTGATATACTTTCAGAGTTACAAAAGAGCCCAGGAGAGGTAATCTTCAACTAACCCAACCCTCTTGTTTTGTAGCACAACTTCAGCAACAAGTGTAGCTTAAAATGAATCAATGTTTCATTCAGTTATAATTCATTCCACCATTGTAATTCGAAAGACATGAGTGTTCATGTTGTGCCATCATATGAAGACAAAATAAGCACATCCTAGATCCTATAAATTAAAACAAACAGTGAGGCCTCAGATTCCTGACATATTATTGCTTCATGGAAACTCTAATTTCCTATCCAATAAATTCCTTTTTTGATATACACCTTTTCACAATTGCATTTTCCTCAAAACTTGAAATCCTTCATACAAACTTTTTAAATACGTCAACTGCATGTGGCTGAAAAACTGGTGGGTTTTTAACTTTAATCGTCTTTCATATAACATATATCTAGTATTTTTTCTGTAATGTTCTTTCAGAAAATAGATAAATAAGGAATAGAAATACCAAACATTAGTAGCAAATTTAACAATGTAATCACCCTCTTGTTGCTACCTAATAGTATTTCTTGTTCAACCCATGATCACAACAAAGATGTCATTTGTGAAATAATGATATAATCAATGGTTAGTCAAAATAAGGGAAAACTGTCAGTGTAATACACACTATCAACATTTGACTTCAATAAGTTTTAAGAATGTACAATATCTCAGTAAAAGGAGATGAGTTAATACTTTTCAAAGGAATGTATGAAGAAAACAAACAAATTAACAAGGACATAAAATAAAATGATTTGATATTTATAACCATACCTTATTACATAATTTCCCTTATTTTCAAAGGGAGATGGCAGTGAGAAAGCATGTTCTTTCGTGAGGAGCCAAAACTTATCAGAGGAGACATGTACATCAATTGGGGCCTACAAAGTACTACAGAAAAATATAAGGAGTTCACAAATTAATTCTAAAAACTATCCTGAAAGAAGTCACAAGTAAACACTATCTACCTCAATGTACTAGAATATTGACGCGTGACATGGAAAATCTTATACATGTTAGCTAGATTGAGCTGATGATAATGGACATGACCCTTTAATGTTGGTGTCTTGCCTTGTGATGTTTCAACCGGAGGGGCAACATGTATGACATCTAACTAAAGAAAGGCACATGCCTCACCGAAGATAAACAAAGCGTAAATCACTGAGTGGATGATTTGTAGTTCCCTTTTTTATTTTTTAGCTGAGAATCGTAGTTGCTTAAGTCAAAGTAGGGGTACGGGTACGGGACACAACAAATTTGTAAAACATAGTGTACGGAGAGACATCTATATAAATATTTATATACACACATACTATATACTAGAATTAATAATTAATATGATAACAAGAATGAGAATTAAAATTCTTGTAACATTTTTATGTTTCTCGTATTATGTGGATTATAAATTAAAAAATCACTAGTTTTTAAACTAGACATCCAAATGACCCTTCAAAATCATGAATTGGAACCTGATTATGTCCAACGAATTTCAAGAAGTGGATGTGAAGTGTAGAAATTTGTCCAAAAACTGTATGACTAATGTTTTAAATTAAAACATGTATTATATTTTGGGAATAGCCTTGTATTTTAGGAAATCCTCATTGGACTTGGATTTGGGATTGAATTTGATTGGAAATAATCAATTATAATTGAAATTAAAATCTAATTGGAAGAGAATTAGAATTGATCATCTAAGTCAAATAAGGAGTTCTACATGAATACAAGAGAGGGTAATAGAGATCAGGATACCCAATTTTATTCCAAGGGGGACTTGGCATCTTAGACGTCAATGAGATATCTCAGATTTTGTTTAGATTGTGATATTTTAGATTTTATTTGGTTATTGTTAGGATAAGATCATATTTGTTTTGAGGATTTGTTTGTTTTAGATAACAAAGGTAGTTTAAATTAGATTGTATTTAGATAAGATTCAATCTTTTAGATAAGATTGAGTTTGTTTCTCTTATCTCCACGAAAGAAAGCAGGGACGATTGGAAATAGAATTGAGTTCATGTTGGTAGTCGGAGTGATTCCATCTTTTTCTTTATTTATTTTCTTTTTTTACTCTTATTTCTTCGCTGCTAGGTCATCTCCACTTCATAAACAAATCGCAATGAACCCAATTCCCACCTCTCACTCATCTGTTTCCACATGAAACCAAACCAAAAAATCAGTCCTCTACCTCGCCTCCATCTCCGATCCAAAAGAAAGCACTTGACCACCATCTTTGCCATCAAACCAGACCCGCCTAGCCTCACCACGAGCCCTCAACATCGCCATCACCCTCTATTTGCAACTGAACAAACCAGAGGTTCAAATCTCCGACTTCGCCGCCTCAAGATCAATTGCAAGAACCTACAAATCTTCATATTTTTAACTTCAATCTACTCGTTGCTTGTTCGAGTAAGAGTTGTGAACCGTGCTCGACTTCTCATGCCTTAGGTTTAACACGAACGCATTCTTTATCTACCGTGGTTTTGCATTGTTTATTACTATTAGATGTTAGTTTATAATATTTCAGTATCTAAAGTTATTGTTCGCTACATTTTAGTGTTAGTCTATATTTACTTTACATATTAGTTTCGTTTAATCACTTATTCTAGAATTTGATAGATCGTACTACGTTAGAGGGGAAAGCCTCTAAATAACCCTTGAGAGGTACGTTATAAATCAAACCATAAAAAAGCCAAGGAGAGTTGAATTCTGTAAAAGAGAAGTTGCGCGAACTGAGAAGATAAATCTATGATTTTGAGAGATCTTTTGGTGAGATTGAGAGAGACTTTCTTGTGGAATTTTTAAAGATCACAAGAATAGATTGTATCTTGTAAATCTCCAGAATAAAAGAAGATTCAAATCTCTTCCCGTAGATGAAGGCGATTGTCGAACCATGTAAATCCCGTGTCTGTCTCTTGATCTATTTTTCTGTGGTATATTGCTATTCTCTTTAGTTCGAATAGATTTTTCTCGGTGTTTTCACATTGGCCCAGTGATTGATTGGTCTGCGAAGGAGGAGGTTTAATCAGGGTGTTCGGTAACACTTCTGCATGCTACGCTTCTACATAGATTGCCAATAGGTGCGCAACAATCTGTGTCAGGTTGCGGGTGGTGTGCGATAACATTATATAATTGAGTACATACCAGAATAAATGTATGCATATATGCAAGGAGTGTCCACAGAGTTCGGGTACGGGTATAGGTACATGTCGGGTACGGCTTCATATTAGAAGTACCCAGATAATATAGATTCAAACAATATCGTTAGTTATGCAATACCCATCCTAGGACTATGTTTTATTGTTGTTATAGGTATCCATAGTAGGCTTGACGATTTTAATTAAAAGATTAAAGACTGCAGCTTTACTCCTGAAGGAGGAGAAATGTATTATAAGATATCTAAGAAGGGAATCAATAATTCTGATCAAAGGTAGAAGGATACTTGTTGACTTCAGAAGACAAGGATATTAACTATATTCAATGTTACATTAAATGTTGGGCGCTTCTAGGCGTAAGACTTGGCGCCTAGCGCTTAGTCACCTAGGCGGACGTCTAAGCGGTTTCTGGGCGTTTTTTTTCTTTTTTATTTTTTAATTGTGATACTTGAAGATAAATATATATATATATACTCAATCAAAGATGCATAAATACTAAAATACCAACACTATTAACTAAATTGATTGGTTTACCAATTACAATAGCTCTTTGTATGTTTATACTTCTCAACTCAAATTATAAGGTCATCAAAACAGTGAAAAACTCATTCTCAACTCAAATTACTGTTAACTCTGTTAAGTTTAAGTTAATAATAAACTTAAACTTAATTTTATTGTTAACTAAAATATTGTTAACTTAAGTTTACTGTTTACTATTTACTTAAACTTAAGTTTACCATCAACAAAAAACTTAACATTAACTTACTTAAACTTAAGTTTACTGTTAGTTTAAACTTAAGTTTAACTTAAACTTAAACTTAAACTTAAGTTTACTGTTAACTTACATTTTTTAAGTTTAAATTACTGTTGTTAACTAACTTAAATAGATATTTAAGAAGTACTCTTTACCTTGTTAGTAGTTACAGAGATCTGGGGAGCTCGACAATGTTATAGAAGGCACTAGGCAGACTAGGCGTTTGAGCGAGCGCATAGCGCCTAGACCCTTGGGCGTACGCCTAGGCAGCGCCTAGACGTTTGACTATTTTAAATTATTTAATTATAATAATTGATAAAATTATGTATTAAGTTCATATAAATTTTTTAAAAAAAGATAGAAATCTTAGTTCCACAATAAATCATGCATACTTAGATACTAAATAGCCAAAATAATAATTAACAATGCTAGAGCCTAAGATGTTTTCTTTTTTTATTTTTAATTATAATAATTGATAGTGAATGTCAATGTTATAGAAAGCTTAGATGTCGGACTGATGTCTAGACGGATTTCTTTCTTCATTTAAGTGGTGGTCGATGAGGTTTTATTGAAGGTCGAAGGAGGTAGTGGAGGTGTTCATATTTGGAGGTTAATGGAGTTTGGAGGACGTGTAGGCTAAAACACATAAAATCACAACCAAGACCTACAGGGTGCAATCCATGTAAACAGACAATGCTCCTCTAAACGCTCGTAAAATCTAGGTGGGCAGCCTAAACACCGCCTAGGCGCTAGGCGCTAGGCGCTAGGCGCTAGGCGCTAGGCGCTAGTTAGGCGGCCTAGGTACTGCCTAGGCCTAGGCGTACGCCTAAGCGGACTAGGCAGAGGTTTTTTAAAACAGTGATTATATTTATGCTGCACAGAAAGCTAATATAATGACAATGTGATCCTTAAATTGCATCAACAAAGTCCAAACATCAGCCGTATAAATATGGAGAATCACCTACATGCTTGATGTAAACAACAAATTAGAGCTTTAAATATTCCTAAGGAGAGTGCATTGGGGAAAAAAGATACAGTGAAGAGAAAATGAGACCCAACAATCTAGCATGTAAATGATCATAAAAGCCAGAATTGGATCAACGGTGAAAAACATGTTTGCAAACATAAATAACATATTACTAGGAATGTGGTCAGTATTCTAATGGATCAGATATATTAGGAAAAGTAAAAAATTAGGTATATTAACAGGCAAAAAATGAATGGATCAAGAGCTCATCAGAGGACAACGTACATACAAGGACACTTTTAACAGGTTGCCACCATCATATGTTCTTTGGTCACAGTAGCATGTCTTGTAACATATATACTTCATATACATCAATCAACATCATGTCAAACATAATGGCATAGTTACGAGGTACTGCAACCTTTCATTTTTTTTAGTGGTACACACAGATAGCACAAAGGAGTAGAAATTTGGTACTTTTTTATGTACATTCGCCCCTTAATGTCTTGTCTTGCAGTGTCGACAAAATGATAACGCATAATGTAACTCCGCTTTTGTTAAAGGTTAAATGCAAAAAATGCAAAGTAATGTAATTCATAATATAAGTTACATGTTTTATTATTGATTTAAATTTTAATAAATAAAAATGATGATGATTTTAATAAATATAATCATCTTAATTTTCAAATATAACACCAGAATTATAAAATGCATCTTTACAATTTCTCAACAGAAATACTTCGTAAATGCTCAACAACCAATCCAAAAGCACATGTATCTCAAGTTTTAAAATAAAATAAAGGAAAACACGCTTCATATTATGAACAAGTGAAGTTCTATGAAAGATAAATGAGTAACACCCAGTCAAGGTGTAACCTCTTCATCTTCTATGCTAAAGGCTTCCATTTAGCTTATAACAAATGGTTAAAAGGAAAAAAAGTAAAGAAAAAGAAAATAACATTGCATATTAATATTAGATTAAAATCATCAAATTACATAAATGTAGTAGATTACTATTTACACTCTGATAGAAGTAACATAATTCAGATGTAATCATGTGCTGCAACAAAAGGAATACATGAATCTTATCATATAGGGAACCAAAGATGTGGAGGATAGAGACTCAATAGAAGTGAACAGTAACAAGGCTCGACATTAACGCTACATTTGTGGTAAATATGAATTTACCCTACGACTCTGCTTTTAAATCTATGATTACAAAGGTGAATTGCCTTCCAAATTTCCTAATGTTGCCAACTATTTCTATTTCCTTGGGAAACAAGCACCTATAGCTCTTCCCACAGTTTCCTAATTGAATGATAGCCTGTTCACTATATATCAGAATCTCAATCCCAAATTAAAAGCATGAAAAACTAGAAGAAGCTACATCTGTAGAGTTGCAGATGATGCTAAATAATGAACATGTCAAAATTCCAGTTAAAAGTGATGACAATACAATTGAAGATATAAAGGTCATACCCCCTCATTTCTCCACTGTGGAATCAGTTCATCAAGTGCACGAGTCTCGAACACATTGCCGGATATGATATGTGCACCTACAAACAAGGAAAAGAAGCAACAAAATGTCAGGCAAAAAGCAGCGTGTTTCAAATGACTTCCTTCAAATAACCAAGGCCTACATGCTTAAACAATTGGTGGTATTCACACTGTTGAGTGTGTGATATAAACAAGGAATTTCAAAACGAGGTTCAATTTCATTTGGTTTGAATTCGACAAACTTGTCAGCTTCAGAAGTTTGGTGTCTGAATGTGTACCATAATCTGATTGAATTTTAATATCCAATTTTGCATTATAATAAGAATTCTTGGAAGTTAATATGCTACGGCTGCGTCAACTGTATCTGATAGATGCCAAAAAAAGGCAAAAATGGGTGACTAAGTTCAGCTTTGTTCAAGAACCACCTCATCCTGCCACTGATAACAGGGGTGAGGATAATTTCTGGAGAAAACAGGAACGAGAATATTATTTGTAAGCTTTTAACCGAGCTATGTTTCATCTCTGATCAATTAACCCACTGATAAATACATTGGTCCTGGAAATATCATTCAAAAACCAAACACTTGATCCCCCCTCGTTTGACTGTAGATCCGGCACTCCGGTGATAAGTCATTTTTTCTCATTTGCCAAAGTTATGGGTTTTCGCACTCTTTCATATACAAATGTATACGTCTACTTGTTCAAAGAGCTAGCCTCCTCACAAAGACTGCAAGTTAGAGCTAGTTCATGGTCTCACTTGAGGAGAGAAAGAGGTTTTAAAAAAAAGAGGAATTCTCCTATTAGCAAAGGGCTATATTGAAAAACTACCAACTTCAGCGCCCTTCTCCACGACGCAAACCGAGAGATCGCTGTTCTTCTCTCTGCAGAGCTGCTTCAGCCTAATGGCAGCAGAGAGCCCAGCGGGCCATCCCAACGATGACGACAATCGTAAGATCGATGGACTCATCGACCGCTCGATTCTCCGCCGCTGCTGAAGTTCATCCGGCCTCCTCCGCCGTCCAATCTGAACCAGCGGGAGATGGAACCCGCGAGCGAACCTGAAGAGGGGATTAGGGTTTGAGAGTATCTGGAGATGGAGATTTTCAGTAATGATCTAGAGAGCGATCTGATCATGGCTGATGACGATAATGATGATGAAGGAGCTTGATGAATCTTTTGATTATCGAAGAGGAGGAGAAGAGAGATTTTGGAACAAAGAGATGAGGCTGAAAGTGGGAAGGTAGAGCACGACTGTTGGGGGCTGTTTGGTTGTATGTTTTGGATAGAAAGCGTAAAAAAGTGGGTCCAATGTTAATTTTTATCACTTTCAATTATTTGTTTATAGTTGTGAAAATAATATAAAGTGATTTTATATACTGATGTGACTTGTAAAGTGATTTCATAAAAAAAAAATTTAAGAGAAAGCTGACATTGAAGTCAGGAAAAAATAATAAAAAATAATTCTAACCAATATGATCATTTGAGTAGGGACCATTTTTTACACTTTCCAAACAAACAATTAGGGCCCGTTTGTTTCATTTTTTTTGAAGGAGAAAGTTAGAGGAAAGCTGCCAAATCTGACAAAAACTGTCAGTTTTGGCAGGCTTTCTTGCAAAAACGCCTTTTTTAGAGGCGTTTTTGCAAGAAAACCGGCCAAAACTGACAGTTTTTGTCAGATTTGGCAGGCTTTCCCCTTCCCATTTTTGCAAACAAACAGCCCCTTAAAGTTACATTTACAAACCAAACAAGCAATTTATGATTCCAATGGAATCAAAAACAAACAAAGAAAAGTATAAAAATGAAATTGATGAGGTGGACAACAACTTTCCAAGTTGTGTCATAAATACACAATTTTACCAACAACAACCAAACAGCCCCTTGTTGAAATCTTTTTCCACGTAAGCTTGTCTCGTGTTTGGCCTCTTTCGTGCAAGTCGATTAGGGAGAAGCCCATGACTGAAACGGCCTTTGCTCTCGGCTTCTTATTTATTAGTAATTACTTATACTTCTAGAGTTGGGCCTCAGGCAGCCTGGGCATCGTAGGCCTGGCTGAAATTTTTTTAAGCCTAGCTAGAGTGATTTAATGAAGTTTCTTGTGCATTGATAGCCCATCTCATCTCATTTGATAAATGAGAATCTATCTATCCTGCTATAGAAAGAACCAATTATAGGTAGGAATAAAATAGATGGGTTGCGAACAAACTTATCCTATTTAGTTATTTGTGGAAAAAAGTTTATAATTTTATAAGAGATAATTTTTGTCTCTTTTCCATTTTCTCTCTCTCTCTCTCCAGCACATTCTATTAATTCAGTAAAGAATGATGTGTTCCTCTTTTCTAGAACATTCTATCCAATCAAATGCCATGAAATAAAAATGGACTCTACATAATGGAATATCATTTTCTATATACATACGTACATACACGCGCACGCGCACACACACATATATAATCATAATTTTATAAGGGAGAATTTTTTTTCTCTTTTTTATTTTCTCTCTCTAGAGCATTCTATTAATTTAATAAAAAAATGATGTGTTTCTTTTTTCTATCCCCTTTCTTTCTAGAATATTCTATGTCAATCAAATGCCACGAAATAAAATTGGAGTCTACATAATTGAATATCATTTCTACACACACATAAGGTTCTAAGCATATATCTATACTACAATTTATTTACAGTAATATACAAAATATTAATAATAATAATAATAATAATAAGGATGAGATAATTAATGGAGGATTTCAAGTTCAAATAATAAAGATAAAATCACTCAAAAATTAGTTGACCCTCACTATTTCCTAGAACTATAAAATATACATTCTAAATAAAATAAAAATAATTTGTTTTATATCGCGTGCATTCGTACGTATCAAATTTTTATTTTACTATATCTCTACTACTATACAATGAGCATAATGGGGGTGGTAAAAGTTGAATGAGTGATGGATATTTTCGTCCTTCCTATTGTAACTTGGAGGGTAAATTTGCAAGAGAGATTTTTTTCCTTTCCTTTTTCCTTTCTTTTCATTCTTGTTTCTATAAGATTCCAAATCATGACATGAGATTATGATTCGAACTGTAAAACCCCGTGAATCTTGGAAAATAGTGTGAATTATATTGATAAATGAGTTCTAATTAAGATGAATATCATTTATGGATGAATGATTATGCTAACAATTGATTTGAGATCAATTAAAAGTATATATCAGAGTATACAAATGTTAAACATGCACAAAGAAGAATTTTGGAAAAATGACCAGTTAAGAGTATATATGCATTACACACTGATACAGTTCTAATCTAAAAACTCAAAAGATAAAAGTTGTATGTATCTTAAATAGCTTTCCAATGTATCTTAAATCATCTCATTCCGAGGTCGGACGTGAAAGTTACAGCCAAAATATCGAAGACTATTTTCCCAGTCTGACTAGGTTTCCTATTTCGGGTTTGGGTTATTTTGATTCGGGTTTGCAGTTATATATATACATGTTTTTACACGAAAAACATATCTTTTCATCAGTATTTCAAACTCAAGCAGATCCTCTTCCTCTCTCTCAAACCCTAATCATAATTTGTGAGATTTGGGAGAGTTATTGAGGCATTTATCGAGAGGAATGCGAGATTTTGCGACTTTGGTGAAGAGGGATCTTGCACGCACGTGTTCAGGAGTTCAACACCACGTTTGAGGCAAGATCACCTTTTTCCAAACCTTTTCATGTAGTTAATTCATGATTTAAGATGTTTAATTGATGAATCTCATGTTAAAGCTTAACTCGATGTTTTAAAACCTTAGTTTATGATGTTAATCCTTAGACCAATATGAAAATATATAGATTTAGTTATTGTTTATATTAGTTTGATGATCATGATCATTAGAGTTGTATTTAATTTCATTTTAACTTGTTAATCACGCTTAAATCATGTTTAAACCCTAGTTTAATAATTATTTGAGTTTTCTTGCTAATTAAAGAGGTCTAAACCCTAGGTTGATGATACCTAAGAGATGTGATCATGTTTAAACGAATTTATCTCTGTTTAATGTTTAGAATTTATTATGTTTACTTAACTGATGCGGCATAAACATGTACCAAAAAGGTTGCAAGTGCACAACCGTGTCAAGTTATAGTATAAAGATATCGATCCCACGAGGAAGGTGTTTTGTAGGAGAAAATATAAAATTGGTTCTTATTTTGTGTGCGTGACAAATAGGAGTGATGAGTGAATGTGATTGTGAAGAGATAATGAGAGTGAGAATGAGTATGATCAATAAGGTGAGAAGGAAAAATGGATAAAATCAAAAATCAAGAATGAAGAACAAAATTCTAAAATAAAAGAAAATACAAGAAATTAAAGATGGTGGATTCAATTATAGATATGGATAATCTAAAATTGAACCCACTTCTTAGAAAAGGATGATTCCCTAGAGGGTTCTAGCCTAAAGGCGAATCAAATAAAATAAAAATGAACAAAAAGAAAAACTAAACCCAAGAGGGTTCTAGTCTCAATGTGAATAGTGTAAGAAATTAAAATCTAACTACAAAATAAATTGCAAAATCTAAACTACAAAATAAAATTGTAAGAATTAAATACAAGAAAATAAATCTATTCTATAAGCATGAAATAAATCTAAGGCAAGAGGGTTCTAGCCTCTTGGTTATTTAACAATAAAATAAAATCTAAACTACAAGCATGGAAATAAATCTACATTAATAAGCAATAAAAGAGAAAAAGAAAAGAAATGTAAACCTTCAAATAATTCTCCATCTTCATCTTCATCACCCAATAAAGAGAAGAAGAGAAAAATTTAAAGTGGTGAAAAACTTATTATTATTAATTGCAACAAAAAGTTACAATTTTAGAATGCCTTCTCAATTAAGAGTAGCCCTCCTCTCCAAAAAGAGTTACAAAAATTTTCACACCCTTAACCCCTCACTCTCTACCCCTATTTATAGTAATCTTCAATGAATATGAGCCATTGGATTTGTCTTGAGCCCCAAGTAACAATCTCCACCTTTAAATTTGGTTTTTGTTCTTCTCTAGCCCAATCTTCATTTTATTTTTTTCGAGGAGAAAATAAACATTGCAAGTCCGGCCCATAGCTTTAATTTCACAATCAAGTCCAATTCATGAGATCCAATTGATTTTCAAACAAACAAGTCCGGCCCATGCAGCAATCACCAATGAAATCGGCCCATATGTTTGCATTTGATTTCATTTGATTTTTGAAGTCCAAGCTGAGCAATCAAATTCGGTCTCCTTTGCATTAAATCCCATGTCTGTAGGTAATGGCATTTGATTTTCGAAAATCAAAAGCCCAGCAAGTCCGGCCCACAATTGGATTTCAATTCCAAGCCAATCAAGTCCGGCCCACATATTTATTTCTTGTGAAAATCAAAGTTGCAGCCGGCCCACACATTTATTTCTTGTGAAAAATCCAAGTTGCAGCCGGCCCATTGATGTTTGCACAATTAAGTTCAATCTGCAGCAGCCAAATTCTACCACATTTGAGAAAAATCACTTCAAGTCCGGTCCCTTGAGTTTGTAACTTTAGCAAATAAGTCCAAAAATCAACTCTTCCCTTGGTGTAATCTTTCTTGATGGGCTTGGGCCTTTGGGCTTCCAACTCTTCAATCATTTTCCTTTTGGACTTCTAAATTGCTACAAAAAATAGAGAAGAGAGATTTTGAGGGGGTTTTTTTACATTTAATAATATTTATTTATATTTCCATTCAATTATGTGGAAACTAAGCTAACAACAATTCATTTAATAATATTTATTTATATTTCCATTCAATTATGTGGAAACTAAGCTAACAACAATTATTAATGGTATATTTATTCATGTAAAATAGAATTATGTGGAAACTAAGCTAACAACAATTATTAATGGTATATTTATTCATGTAAAATAAATAATGAGGATATAAAATTGTAGTAAAAATATGATTATCATTAACCATATTTATAAATTAGGTTATTTGAGAAATTTTGGTTAATTGAGATGTTAAACCCTAACTAGATTAATTTAAGAGTTTAAATCATGTTGAGTTAATCCATGTTAAGTAAATATGAAAGTTTAAATCTTGTTATATGCCTCATGTTAATAAAATTAAGTTTTTGAATAAAGATACAAAAATACAAACGCCAAAACCTGATATGTGAAGATCTTCTCTAGCCGGTCGACTGACCAAGGCTAGCCGGTTGATCGGTGAGATCCTGTGAGTGCACTATGTACATGTTTGCGTTCGGTCGACTGACGCCCTAGGGGTGGTCGACCGACGCCCTAGGGGCGGTCGACCGACCTGTGTTCTCTTTTATTTGAAGTGTTATTTTTTATACCTTTTTGTTTGTTGGAAAATTTGTAGTAAAAGAATGAAAGAAATTTAATTTGTATTCTCTCGATCTTAATTACAATTGGATTTCCTGATTACAAAAGAGAAGAGAATGATCTGGATTCTCCCCTTTGTTTAATTCTGGGGTTCTTCATGGTAGCGATGGAGTGCCTCCCTCGAATGCTCGCGTCGAGTTTGCTCTCCGTTGACGATCCGAACGTTTTGATTTACTGGAACGATATCTTCTCCTCATGATTTGACGTTGTGGAGAACTTGCGTGGCAAGTTTGAAAATAACTTTTAACGAGTTAATAACTCAGAGCGAGTTTTAGAAGAACTTGCAGAGCAAGTTTTGAAAATAACTCTT